TTCCACTCTCCTTGTATCATGACTAGGTTGCTGTGTGACTTGCAAGGCTGGGGTGTAAGAGATTTGCAACATTTGCCTTTGCCACTTGGAATGCTCTCTCTGGGAATTGAGCTGCTACGTAAAAAGTTTGCAAAACTTTCTGAAGAGAGAACCCCTGTGGAGAGAGGGCTGAAGCCATTCACAGATGTTTTAGCCTCAGCTGATCTCCCAGCTGAATGCTGCCTGATGAATGACCCCAGACAATCCTAGTGGAACAGAAGAACCACCTACCTGAACCCTGACTAGATTCTGGATCTATAGAATCATAAGCAAATAAAATCATTGCTATATAAGCCACTAAATTTTGAGGTAATTTGTTACACAGTAAGTAGATAACTAAAGCCATAACCTATTAGCCAAACTGATTTTAGAGATTAATATTGTTCATTTCATATTCCTTCCTTCCTGTCTTCCTTTAAAATGCAACAACTTTTTTTTTTTTTGAGACGGAGTTTCGCTCTTGTTACCCAGGCTGGAGTGCAATGGTGTGATCTCGGCTCACCACAACCTCCGCCTCCTGGGTTCAGGCAATTCTCCTGCCTCAGCCTCCTGAGTAGCTGGGATTACAGGCACACACCACCATGCCCAGCTAATTTTTGTATTTTTAGTAGAGACGGGGTTTCATCATGTTGACCAGGATGGTCTCGATCTCTTGACCTCGTGATCCACCCGCCTCGGCCTCCCAAAGTGCTGGGATTACAGGCTTGAGCCACCGCGCCCAGCCTGCAACAACTTTTAATAAGGACTATGCATTAGTGTAATTTGATTTCAGATAATTTTTCTTTTGGACTGGTAGAATTTGTTCAAATGTGCCTTAATATAGGCACTGGGGCTTGCCCATGGTGCTCTTGATATATAAAGCCCGGACATTCTGCCAATTTTTCTTGAGCAATGACACCAATAAATTGACAGCCAGGTGAATGTTATACACAAGCTCATTGTCTATCATCTTCACCTGACCAACAGCCACAGCCAGACATAACACCTTCATTTGGAACTTGATTGTGGACTTCACTTCATCCACTTTGGCCACCATTTTTTCATTGTGTGTGAGCAGGGAGGGGAACTTTCCTGCCTTATAAAGGCCTGGGCAGAGGATTCATGGAATCTGGTTGATGAGAGACTCTGAGGCCAAAAATGCATCAAACTTCTTGGCCAGCTTCTTGACCCGTTTTTTTATTCTTGTTGAGTTTTTTCAGCGCCTTGATGTCCATGTGGGGGATATCCACGGCCTTGGCCTCGTCACAGTGCTGCTGGTCCCCCAGGACACACATGGAGAACTTGGGGAGAGGAGTGGACTTAAGCCTGACGGTACCTGAGAAACGCTTCTGGGGGTCATAGTTCTTCAAACTGATCTGCAACTCCACCGTCTCCAGGAACTTGCGGCGCTTGCGCTGGTTCCCGTGCGGGACTGCCTGCACCGCCTCGTACAGGGTGTTATGAGAGACTTTGCTGCTTATGGCTTCTCCTGCCGCGCTAACCGGAAAAGAGAGCAATTTTTTTTGTTTTTGTATTTTTTAGATGGGGTTATGCTCTCTCACTCAAGCTGGAATGCATTGGTGCAATCATGGTTCACTGTAGCCTCAACCTCCCTGGGCTCAAGTGATCCTCCCATCTCAGCCTCCTGAGAAGCTGGGACTATATGAGCACACCACCAAACTCCACTAATTTTTATGTACTTTTTGTAGAGACAGGGTTTTCGCCATGTTGCTCAGTCTGGTCTTTAGCTCCTGGGCTCAAAGGATCTGCCCACCTCAGCCTCCCAAAGTGCTGGGATTACAGGTGTGAGCTATTATTGTGTCTGGTTGTGATTTCAGAGAAAAATTTCAGATAAGAACAGTAGGCTTCTGGCGGGGATGTAAATATATATATGTATGGGCTGCTATATGGTAGGGAAAGAAGACACTTCAAAGAGAGGAAAAGGCAAAAAGTGAACACCTGTTTGAGTAAAATTATAATAGCTATTATTTATTGATTGCATACTATATGCCAGGCAGTATATTCAAGTTTTATATACATGATTTCATTTTACTCTCATTAAAATTCAAAGAAGATGACATTATTATGAATTCTTTTTTTGAAGGTGAAGTAATTATGTCAGAGACATTAGGAGACTTTACCAATTTCACACAACTGGAAAGTAGAAGAACTGAGATTTAAATCTAAACCTCTTTGTCTTCAGAGTCAGACATTAGTTCTAATCACCTTTCTACACTTCCTCTAAACTTGATCTACTCTACAGTTTTGCTATGGTTTATCCTTTTTGGTTATAGTAAATGCTATTATTCAAAATGGATTTGTAGAGCATCTGTCATGTAAAGGCACTGGACATTCAGATTCGAAAGATAATACCTATTGGAGGTAAAGAGCAGGAGAAGGTATGTAGATGGCAGTAGTGGGACAATTCAGCTATGAGTTAGTGACTGTGATGTCTCTTCTACTATTTATTCCATGAACATTTTGAGCATCAGCTTTTTGTTAAATACTGGGTCAGAAGCTATTGGGTTCAGAAGCAGGAAGGAGAGATTGATATCAACTTAAATCACTTTAAGGTGTATATTTTTCACATATTAATATTTCTGAAATTATATGTGTTTTACAGTAATTATTAGCTTAAATGGTAGTATTGTTTTCTTCCTCAGTGGTACATAAAATAATGGTGTTTTTACAACTGGTAGAACTTTAGATTCAATAAAATATGACTTTTGGTCTGCCAAATATGGTTCTTGTTCACAAAATGCTTAATATTTATGATCCTGCAATGTAGTGGATTTCTTTCTACGTTTGTAACCATGTAATATCCTTCACCAATCTACCTTCCTTCTCTTGGCCTGAGATAATGCATTTATTCAAGTAAAGTTGTTTATTTTCTATACTGTCTCCATCACTGTTCAGCAAATGAAATGCTTTCATCTCTCTATCTTCACCCCAACTTCTTTCCTGGGCTCTGATTCATAACTGACACCTGAGTATTATAACTTCCTTGTCTTTATGTCACCTTGAACTCGACACAATGATCCATCTTTCCCTCCAAGCCAGATTATTCTCCAGGCTTCCCAAGATCTATTAGTTTTTGGGAGCCATCCTCAATTCTTCTCTCTCCTTTGTTTCACTCCTACACATCTAGTGTGCTGCTATTAAGACCTGTAAACGTTTCTTCTTGCATTGATCTCTTCCTTTCCAGTTCCACTATTGTCATCTCGGTCCAGGCCCTTGTTTAATCATGCATGGATGGCTACAGTCTCCCTGTAATTCATCTGACCCATTTTTACCATCTCTAACATGGTATTGTACATGGACTTCCTGCTAAAAGTCATTAAACAGCCCCTTACTGATCACTAGATACATTCCAGACACCACAGCTTGGTATTCAAGGCTCTCTATAATTACCACTCCTTTCAGCTTCATCATCCACCATCTAAACTGGAGGAAATGTTCTGCACTTTTCAGCTGCCACAATTTTTGGCTTGAACCATTTCCTTTGTCTAGATTCCTACTCTCATTCTCTGAGCTCATCTAAGACCAGGCTTTCCTTCCAAGCTCAGCTGACTCCTCCAGGAAAAGCATTTCCTGATGGTTTGCAGTTTACAGTGAACTCTCTTCTCCTAACTCTTACAGTGCTTAGTGCATATATAAGTAATGTAACATTTAGTATGTGTTACCTTCTATAGCTTTTTATCCTTTTATGCATAAAAATGTCTTTCCAATGAGAATTAAATGCCTTGAGGGTGGAGAGCTGGCCATATTTCTCCATATTCCCAGTGCTGATGGTCTTTTAGATATAATCAACTTTTAGACCTGGAAATTCACCTAGCCCTACTGATTCCTTTCACAGTTGAAAAAACGGAGGCCCAGAGAGAAGTTGTTCAGACTCAGTAGAAAGCCATAGTCACAGACAAATATTTGCTAACACTATAAATTATAGGGTTGGCTTACGTAGAATGGCAAGATTCATAAGTGGGGAATGAGGGTATTCTCTGAACAAAGGGAGGCAGGTAGAAATCATTACAACTGTCCATGCATGATTGGACACGGGCCTAGACTGAGATGGAAATAGTGGAACTGGAAATGAAGGGATTACTGCAAAAGGAAAAGTGTGCAGGTCTTGCTAACATACTAGATAGGTATTTTTGACAAGTTTGGGAATAGGTGATTCAAGCTGACCGCTGGGGCACGTGTAGTGGCTACTTGAGGGCAGGGCTGTCCTTCTGCACAACGCACAGGCTCTTGAAAATGGTTGGATGTTCGATAATGTTTCTTTTCTTTTCTTTTTTTTTTTTGAGACGGAGTTTCGCTCTTGTTACCCAGGCTGGAGTGCAATGGCGTGATCTTGGCTCACCGCAACCTCCGCCTCCTGGGTTCAGGCAATTCTTCTGCCTCAGCCTCCTGAGTAGCTGGAATTACAGGCACGCGCCATCGTGCCCAGCTAATTTTTTTGTATTTTTAGTAGAGACGGGGTTTCACCATGTTGACCAAGATGGTCTCAATCTCTTGCCCTCATGATCCACCCGCCTCGGCCTCCCAAAGTGCTGAGATTACAGGCTTGAGCCACCTCGCCCGGCCAGTTCAATAATGTTTCTTGCTTGAGTTGGCTGCCCAGTCCTACCACATTCTTCTTCTCAGGCATGTAGCTGGAAGAAAGTGAAGCAGGTTGGCTTTCTGGCTCCTCAATGGCACAGACCCAGAGGAAGCCCTAGTGCCTGGTGGTGAGGACCGACCAAGGCTCTCTGCTCAGTAGAGCCAGCCAGGAACCGCCCCTGACAGGAATCCGTGGGCTAAGCAGCCGCTCTGGTCTTGGCCACGATCCCAGGAAAGAAGAGCAAGGGGCTTTCCCCATGCCCCTAGCCTAACCCGGCTCTGGGACCTCTCAGGTTCCAGAGGCTCTTGCCCCACCTCCTAAGCCGGCCGCCTCCTCTCTGCGTCCAGGTTGCCCGCCCCTCCCCTCACGCTCGACGGGCTCGCTCCCGCAACAGGAGGGCGGGGGGGTGAGCGGGCGCGCGGAGGTGGAAGGCCTCAGGGACGGTCCGCCGCGGGGGCGAGCGCGCAGGCGCGTTCCTGGGACCCGCTGCAGGCGCGAATTCCAGCGGCTGGCGGGCGGCTGGGTAAGGACAAGGGATCCCGGGGATTCTGGACCCGGGGCCAACGTGAGGAGGTGCTGGGGGCTCGCGATACGCCACGAGGCGGCGCAGAGTTGGCGACCTGGCTCTCAGCCCCGCTCCACTGCCTGGGACGCGACGCGAGGCCTCCCCAGGCCTTCTTTCAGGGTCGCTTGGGGGTCGGGTGAGGGGACGCGGTGATAGTGATGGCCCTTCCAGGCTGGGGCGGTCCTGGCGCCCTTGTCCTTGAGGTTCAGAGGGTCTGGCCCCCAGGAGGAGGGGCGGAGAAACGTGAAAAGGAATCCCTTTCGTCCCATATGCTCGACCGGGATAGCTGCACTCCGCGGTGTTGTGTCCACTGCGGGGGAAGGATCTTTCAGAGGAAGAGGAGCAAAGTCGGCTCTGGGACGTGGATGGCGGGCTTGGCGCTTGTCGAGATGCACCATCGGGGTAAAGGAGGACGAAAAGCGCCTCTACTGTCTGCCTAGCAACTTCGTGGCGAGTGGTTACTGTATTCTGATTTACAGGTGGAAAAAATTGCAAAGAACCCTTTTTCTGGTTTCAGGAAAAGAGAGTGGTTAAAAGCCTCGCATAAAATCTTTAATTACATAGGGCTCAGTAGAATTAGGTATCTCCCCGCTCACACACACAGACACTCGCAGCTCCATTCAGCAAATACTTCTTGGGTACCTGCCTTCTACTAACACTGTCTACAAGTGAGGAACTGAGAGCAACTACTGAGACAGGAGGATCCCTGTTCACAGGGAGCCTTTACTCTAGTCGGCACATCCGTCTACTCTCCTTTTATGCTTGCTTTTTTTTTTTTTTTTTTTTGAGACGGGGTCTTGCTCTGTCGCCCAGGCTGGAGTGCAATGGCGGCATCTCTCCTCACTGCAACCTCCGCCTTCTATTTTCAAGGGATTCTCCTGCCTAAGCCTCCCGAGTAGCTGGGATTACAGGAACGCGCCACCACGCCCTGCTAATTTTTGAATTTTTAGAGGAGACAGGTTTCACTATGTTGAGTGTTGTCCAGGCTGGTCTCGAACTCTTGACCTCAGGTGATCCGCCTGCCTCAGCCTCCCAAAGTGCTGGGATTACAGGGGTGAGCCACCACGACCGGCCTGTTTTATGCTTTTTAAATTGGAATATAACATATAGAAAAATACACAAATTATAAGTTGTAACTTGTTAATTTATCCTAAAGTCAGCACATCTCCTAACTACTACTCAAATCAAGAAGCAAGATTCACAGCATTTCAGACCTCTGTGGACACCCCTCCCAATCACCATTCCTTCTTTCCTCCTCACAGGTAACCTTTACGGATTTTTAACACTGTAGATTAGTTTTACCTATTTATGAAACTTTCATGGAACCATATGATAGGTATTCTTTGGTGTTCAGCATTTTTACTGAAAATTGTGTGTGTGAGATTGCAGCATGTCATGTGAAAATACAATTACGGATAGTGAAAAGAATTAGAAAGCATTTTTTTTTGACACAGTCTGGCTCTGTCGCCCAGAATGGAGGGCATTGGCACGATCTCGGCTCACTGCAACCTCCTCCTCTCGGGTTCAAGCGATTCACCTGCCTCGGCTTACTGAGTAGCTGGGATTACAGACGTGTGCCACCACGCCCAGCTAATTTTTGTATTTTTAGTGGAGACGGGGTTTCACCATGTTGGTCAGGCTGGTATCACTCCTGACCTTGTGATCCACCCACCTCGGCCTCGGAAAGTGCTGGGATTACAGGTGCCACTGGGTCCGGCAGGCAGCAAATTAAAGAGGGTAATGATACAAATAGTAAGGGGAGGAAGCTTTAGTAGGGTAGTCAGGGATGATCTTTCTGAGGGGTGATTTGAGATATGGCATGAATGACAAAAGATTAGCCATTCCAATCAGTTCTAGAGTTATTGCGTGATGTTTTTAAGTAAGAAAATAATTAGGACCAGGCATGGTGGCTCATGCCTGTAATCTCAGCACTTTGGGAGGCTGAGGTGGGTGGATCACCTTAGGTCAGGAGCTCAAGACTAGCCTGGCCAACCTGGGAAAACCTCATCTCTACTAAAAATAGAAAAATTAGGCAGGCAGGGTGGCAGGTGCCTATAATTCCAGCTAATTGGGAGGCTGGGGCAGGAGAATCACTTGAACCTGTGAGATGAAGGTTGCAGTGAGCCAAGATCGAGCCATTGCACTCCAACCTGGTCAACAAGAGCAAAACTCTGTCTCAATAAAGAAGAAAAAATTTTAGATCATTAAGTGGAATGTACCAATTCTGCCTTAAAATTTTTAGTTGATTTATTATATTTTCTGAATATATTTAAAGTGTATCCTGTGGTTAAAATGGTCCAACATTTTTCAAAGAGAAGACGAAAATGTCAATTTGCTTCTTCTTTTTTTGTTTTTGTTTTTTGAGATGGAGTCTTACTCTGTCAGCAGGCTGGAGCACAGTGGTGCAGTCTCTTCTCACTGCAACCTCCGCTTCCCAGGTTCAAGCGATTCTTCTGTCTCAGCCTCCTGAGTAGCTGGGACTACAGGCGCGTGCCAAACTCCTGGCTAATTTTTGTATTTTTAATAGAGACAGGTTTCACCATGTTGGCCAGGATGGTCTCGATCTCTTGACCTTGTGATCCACCTGCCTTGGCCTCCCAAGGTGCTGGGATTACAGGCGTGAGTTACCGCTCCCAGCCCTTCTTTTTTTTTTGAGATGGAGTTTTGCCCTTGTTGCCCAGGCTGGAGTGCAATGGCTCGCTCTCAGCTCACTGCAACTTCTATCTTCTGGATTGAAACTATTCTTCTGCCTCAGCCTCCCAAGTAGCTGGGATTACAGGCGAGCACCACCACACCCAGCTGGTTTTGTACTTTTAATAGAGATGTGGCTTCACTATGTTGGTCAGGCTGGTCCCAAACTCCTGACCTCAGGTGATCCGCCTGCCTTGGCCTTCCAAAGTGTTGGGATTACAGGCGTGAGCCACTGCACCCAGCATCAATTTGCTTCTTACTTTAAAACCTCAAACTAAGGAAAACTGTAAAAAAAAAAAAAAAAAAAGTAAGTTGTTGAGTTTTACTGCTTTTGTATTTTTTCTCACAATTTGGGGCTGTTCTTAATGATTCTTACAAAGGCTCATTTCTCTAAGATGGAAAGTTGGTGTGGTTAATGCAAGTATATTTTGGAAGAAAAGTAAAAACCAAACTAGAGAAATTATTTATTGGAAGACTTTCCCAAACTAAATACAAGGACAAAATTCTTCCTTCTTGCTGTACCAAAGATAAATTACCCCTTTGTCCACAGTTGTGGTTTTATATTTACCTGTTAGTGAACATGTTCTAAATAGAATTGACTGTGTCATTATCTACATATCTGTTGTTTTTCTTTTCTCAGAAATATTCCCTTGTGAGAGTAAATCTTCACTATAGCTTTAGACGTATTGAGTCCCACTTAATAGGGAGATCCAACTTTTGATGTATATTCCCAACTAAAGGACTAGGGAATAAGGAACTTAAAATACGACCTTTCCTTCATATTCCTTCCTACTACCCCTGCCCCGGAATTCTCTATCCATCTACTTGGTTTACTGGGTTCATTGTTGTAGGTACAGTGCTCAGCTAAATCTTGGTATCTTTTTTCCCCTTAGGCTACTTCTACATAGACATAATCAATTTTTGACTATTTGGCAACCAAGCATCATTAAAATCCTCTCAAACTTCTAATTGCGAAGAATTGATAACATTTGAAGAAGTGATAACATTTCTCTGAACAAGAAAAGAAGTGACTGACCACATTTTAAAAGTACTCTGGCACTGGTACTGTGTTTTCTTCCCTTCCCTAAATTTGAAGAACTATGGAGAAATGGTACTTGATGACAATAGTGGTTTTAATAGGACTAACAGTACGGTGGACAGTCTCTCTTAATTCTTATTCAGGTAATACATTTTTACTGTTTAAAAGAAAAGGAAATCTTCCTTTGAATAGGTATTTGTTTGGGGAAAAGTTTACTGTTTTCTGACCAGAACAGAGAAGAATTTCAGGCCTTTTTGATACAGTCGAGAAAATACATTTAAATGTCTAATTCTGGTAGAAAAAATATGTATAAGAGCTAAATAGAAGCGTGCACTTTGTGATGTGGAAAAGCAAAAATGTGTTCTAACAGGTAAGATGACAAATTGAGAAATGATTCTGTATTAAACATTGAATAGGAAAATGAGCGAGCACTTCAAGGGAGGGGTGGAGTCTGTTTAGGGTAAAGAAGCATGTTACTAGATTAAAGGGAAGTAATCAGGAGACAAGAATAAGATTGGGAGTAAGGGAGGAGGAATTGAAGGAGTATGTTTCTGGAGACTGTTGGATTGGCTTAAATTTAACTCTGCAGGTACCTATTTAGCGCGTTGCATGTTCCAGGCACTGTGCTAGGTTCTGAAAATACAAGGTGAATATCCACTACTCAGAGGGCTCACATTTTAATAGTTAAGTGGTCACAACACAAGGTGGTAATTATAATGTAGAAGTATGTGTGAGGTACAGAGGTGATAGAGAAGTGAATGATCAGGATGCATTAGGGAAAACTTCAGGGAAGATATTTGAATTCAAGGTTTGAAGGATGAGTCAGAATTTTCTAGGCAAATGAAATAGAGAAGGCATTATGGGGTACAGGAACTTGTGCGACAGACATGGTGTCATAGAGCATGGTTATTATTAGGTATTCAGTATTTGAGTAGCATAAAGGAAGGAACAAAAAGGATGAGGAGAGAGTGACCAGAGAGTAGTTTATACAGTTAGCTGGGCAAATTATTTGGTTGTAGATAAATAATTTTTATGGTAGTGAAAAAGGGTCACAGGGAAAAGAGATAGGTAAAGAGAAAAATGAGACAATAATAATAGTTGTAAGAGTGATGATATACACAGCCACATATATATACATAAACACATATTTACTTTGTGCAGTGCCTGGCTAGTACACATTTACTATATACACAGATACATATATGGATATTTACATGTAATTATATATATGTGTGTGTCTGTGTGTATACACATTTACTATACACACAGACACACACATATATAGGTATTTTCTGCATATCTATATAGGTGTGTATTTGTATATAGTAAATGTGTATATATGGATATTTATGTATATGTGTCTGTGTATATAGTAAGTGTGTATGTAGAGAGTAAATGTGTATGTGTCTGTGTATATTGTAGCTCTTTTTTTTCCCTTTTTTGAGACGCACTGTCACTCTATTCTGTTGCCCATGCTCAAGTGAAGTGGCATGATCTCGGCTCACTGCAACCTCCACATCCCAGGTTCAAGCAGTTCTCCTGCCTCAGCCTCCTGAGTAGCGTGGGATTACAGGTGAGCACTACCACGCCTGGCTAATTTTTGTATTTTTAGTAGAGACGAGGTTTTTATCATGTTGGTCAGGCTGGTCTTGAACTCCTGAACTTGTGATCCGCCTGCCTTGGCCTCCCAAAGTGTTGGGATTACAGGCATGAGCCACTGCGACCAGCCTGTAGCTTACACACACACACACACACACACACTCCCACCCCCACCCACCCTTTTATATGTTTTATAAGTCTCTCTTTTTTTTTTGAAGACAGGGTTTCACTCTCATGGTCCAGGCTGAAGTGCAATGGCACGATGTTGGCTCATTGCAGCCTCTGACTTCTGGACTCAATGATTCTGCTGCCTCAGGCTTCTGAGTAGCTGGGATTACTGGTGTACACCATGACGCTTGGCTAATTTTTGTATTTTTTTGTAGATACAGGGTTCCACCATGTTGCCCAGGCTGGTCTTGAACTCCTGAACTCAAATGATCTGCCTACCTCAGGCTTGTAAAGTGCTGGGATTACAGGTGTGAGCCACCATGCCCAGCCAATATTTTAACCAGACTATAGTTTTTCTTTTCTTTTTTTTTTTTTTGAGACGGAGTTTCGTTCTTGTTACCCAGGCTGGAGTGCAATGGCGCAATCTTGGCTCACCGCAACGTCCGCCTCCTGAGTTGAGGCAATTCTCCTGCCTCAGCCTCCTGAGTAGCTGGGATTACAGGCACGCGCCACCATGCCCAGCTAATTTTTTGTATTTTTAGTAGAGACGGGGTTTCACCATGTTGAGCAGGATGGTCTCGATCTCTTGGCCTCGTGATCCACCTGCCTCAGCCTCCCAAAGTGCTGAGATTACAGGCTTGAGCCACCGCACCCGGCCAGTTTTTCTTTTCTCTTAAAACATTTTTTTTGAGGGAGGCCAAGGTGGGTGGATTGGCTGAGCTTAGGAGTTCAGCCTGAGCAACATGGCAAAACCCTGTCTCTACTAAACATACAAAAACTAGGTGTGTAATCCCAGCTACTAGGGAGGCCGAGGCACAAGAATTGCTTAAGCCTGGGAGATGGAGGTTGTGGTGAGCCAAGATCATGCCACGGCACTCCAGCCTGGGCAACAGAGCAAGACTCTGCCTCAAAAAAACAAAAACAAAAAACATACACTTTTTTGGGCTATTTTAATTTTTATTTATTTTTAAATTTTTAATTTTGTTTGAGACAGAGTCTTGCTCTGTTGCTCTGTTGTGATGCTGGAGTGCAGTGGGGTGATCTCAGCTCACTGCAACTGCCACCTCCTGGGTTCAAGTGATTCCCCTGCCTTAGTCTCCTGAGTAGCTGGAACTATAGGCATGCACCACCACACCCAGCTCATTTTTTGTATTTTAGTAGAGAGAGGGTTTCATCATGTTGGCCAGGCTGGTCTCGAACTCTTGACCTCGTGATCCACATGCCTCAGCCTCCAAAAGTGCTGAGATTATAGGTGTGAGCCATCATACCTGGCCTATTTTTGAATTTACTTTTTTTTTTTTTTTTTTTTGGAGACAGGGTCTCCCCGTGTTGCCCAGGCTGGAGTACAGTGGCATGATCTTGGCTCACTGCAGTCTTGGGCTCAAGCGATCCTCCTGCATCAGCCTCCTGAGCAGCTGGGACTACAGGCATGTACCACCATGCCTCGCAATTTTTTGATTTTTATTTTTAGTAAAGATGAGGTCTCACTATGTTGCTTAGGCCGGTCTTGAACTCCTGGGCTCAAGCAATCCTCCAGCTTCAGCCTCCCAAAGGTGCTGGGATTACAGACATGAGCCACTGTGCCTGATGTTTTCAAATACTTTGGCTTATAGTTTCTCTTCGGCATGAATTTAAAGGATTTACAGAAAGGACTTGTAAAAACTACTATATTTTGAGTATGAGTATTTTATTTTATTTTATTTTTGATACGCAGTTTTGCTCTTTCACCCAGGTTGGAGGGCAGTGGCGCGATCACGGCTCACTGCAACCTCCACCTTCTGGGTTCAAGTGATTCTCCTGCCTCAGCCTCCCAATTAGCTGGGATTACAGGTGCCTGCCATCATGACTGGCTAATTTTTGTATTTTTAGTAGAGACAGCATTTCACCATGTTAGCCAGGCTGGTCTCAAACTCCTGACCTCTTGATCTGCCCACTTCGGCCTCCCAAAGTGCTGGGATTACATGTGTGAGCCATCTCGTCTGGCGAGTATGAATATTTTCTTTACTTTTATTTTTTGAGACGGAGTCTCACTCTGTTGCCAGGCTGGAATGCAGTGGTGCCATCTTGACTTATTGCAACCTCCGGCTCCCTGGTTCAAGCGACTCTCCTGCCTCCTCCTCCTGAGTAGCTGGGATTACAGGCGTGCACCACCATGCCCAGATAATTTTTTGTATTTTTTGGAGAGATGGGGTTTTACCATGTTGGCCAGGATGGTCTTGATCTCCTGACCTCGTGATCTGCCCGTCTTGGCCTCCCAAAGTGCTGGAATTTAGAGGCCAAGTATTTTCTTTAGTACTTACAACAACCACTGAAGGCAGGTAATATCTTTGATTTACAAATGGGAAATAAGACAACCAATAAATAACAACTGGGTTTCAAATATAGTTGTATTTAATTCCAAAATCAGTGCTTTTATGACTCTGCTGTATGGGTTCTGAGAAAGAAGAGTCCCTGAACTAGCCAGTTAAAAGTTGGAGAAATGAATTTGAGGAATATTGAAAAAGTAAAATCACTTAAATGTAGCAGTTGACTTGGGCTCAAATCTTAGCTCTTTCACCTGTTAGCTGCCTGATCTTGGGGAAGTTATTTAATCTCCCTGAGCCTCTTCTATCAAGTGGGGTATTAATACATACTTTAAGAAGGTTCTTGGCCGGGCAGTGGCTCACGCCTGTAATCCCAGCACTTTGGGAGGCTGAGGTGAGCTGATCACATGAGGTCAGGAGTTTGAGACCAGCCTGGCCAACATGGTGAAACCCTGTCTGTACTAAAAATACAAAAATTAGCTGGGTGTGGTGGCAGATGCTCGTAGTCCCAGCTATTATGGAGGATGAGGCACATGAATTGCTTGAACCTGGAAGACAGAGGTTGCAGTTAGCCAAGATCATGCCCACTGCACTCTAGCCTGGGTGACAGAACAAGACTGTCTCAAAAAAAACAAACAAACGGTTCTTGTGAGGATTGAGATCAAAAAAAAGTGGGGGAGGTTCTTGTGAGGATTGAGATAACATGTATAAATTGTGTTTTCTTTTTTAATAGTGTAGAAATATAACCAGCACATTTATAGTTCATAACTTATCTCATTTATTCCTCACATCAGATCATTTAACCCTAAAATGTCTGCTACGTGGGAAAAATAGGCCTTGCTGGTGATTAAGTCTTTAGGGTGACCAAGAATAATAAATGATGTCTTCCCTAGAAAAGTTCACAGTCTAGTGGATAGGGTGGATGTGCAAATATATACTACATGAAATGTAGTCTGGGCATGGTGGCTCATGCCTGTAATTCTAGCACTTTGGGAGTTTGAGGCGGGCAGATCACTTGAGGTTCATGAGTTCCAGACCAGCCTGGCCAACATGATGAACTCCCTTTACAGAAA